TTAGATTTTCGAGAACATCAATGATAAAATGAAGCAATACAACAAAATTTCGATCACGGATTTTATTTTCTATATTTTTTGCTGACTCTCTTGTCTTCTCATTAAAACGTTTTTTATCTGAATAGATATCTACAAGTGCGTTCATAATAGCTTCCCACATGCTTCTTATTTTCTTGATTGCTGTAAGTTCAGATGCCATCCAACGGATCTTAATACAAATATATGTTATAATGGCTAATAATTAGTAATGAAATTAGCAAGTATATTACCTTATATATATAATTAAATTTATATACTTTAACTCCAATGTCATCTGCAATTTCTTTTAATAATTCAATGTTTTTATATCCTCGTTTTTGAAATAGTCTATATAGTTCGTTAATCGTTGTCTCGAATTCTTTAAAATAAACCAGATTTTGTGTAGCGTGAGTTAACGCTAATTGTAACCTGTATCAATTAAATGTAATATTATATTTATATATTGTTTGTATATATAATTGCGCATGCGCATTACCGATGGGCCATGCAGTGAATTTTAAATACACGTCGTTCAGTTAAATGCTCTAGATACATAGCAACCCCTTTTAGAGTGCTCGTCATGGCGCTTGCGCCGTCGGTTGCTATCCCGTATAAATTCGCTTTTAATAAATTTTGTATTCCATCAGCATTGAATTGATTATTTATTGTTTGATACATTCCAAATCCTGTTGCATCATCAATTTTATTTAATGAATAAAAATATACCATCGGTTTATAATTTTCTAATGTTTGAAACATAATTGATAAATAATGATCTCCAGCTTCCCCTCCGTCCACCATGATAGATATGGGATTATTTGATTGCTTCAAATGTTCAATTAATTTTAATTTCATGTATGAACTAATAGTTTTTGTCATCATCGATGCTGTTTTTCTTGAAAGATACATATCACCAAGTTTCACACCATTAATTTTTTGCAAATCAATTAAATTAACAATGTTTGTAAACGGCATATTTGAACGCACCATAGTATATATAGTTCTAAACACATTCGATGTCGCTTCATAAAGATGATCTTCATTATTCATCATGTTTTGAGCGTCAATATAATATTTTGGTAAAGAATTCTCAGCGTTCTCACGTAAATGTTGTATGACAGCTTGATGGATGGGACCATTGTAATGATTTCGAATAGTATCGCGGTTTTGCGAGATAGACGGTTTAACTATTTGACCAAGATTTTTACATATATAAGGTTTGTGTTTATCCAATATATCATGCGCATAATTGATACATAATCGACACTTGTAAGTTGAAACAGGTTGGTCTGTATAAATCAGCCAGTTTTGTACATGATATCTATTTGCTTGAATAAAAGACACTGGCATTTTGTTAGAATCCATTTGGGTCAGCCATTCATGTTTAAATAAATCTGTTCTTTCCCATTGAGCTATTTTATGATTTCCTAAAATAGATAATGTTTCAACTTCTCGTTCTAACTGGATTAATGCTCTGTTTTCTTGATCTGTTGTGAACGATTGTGTTGAACATTCTTTTGATCGTTCAAGTAATACATTTTGGTGTTTGATTATCGTATCATCAAAAACTGAACCATAAACCTCGGGGGATATTGAACTTTGGCAAAAATCAGGATATTCATCAACAGGTTTTGTTAACAGAGGTGGACTTAAGTCTTCAATTACTTTTTCTAATAAAAAATGTATTCCAGTGCAGTCGTTGCCATAGCCAGGAGTCGGATTTCCTAATCGAAATTTATCTGGTATAAAGGCGACAGTTGTAACAGTGCATCTATTTATTGATAAATCACGCCTTAGATCTATATAAACAATAACAATTATATTTATATATATTGTAATATATTGATTAGTTTAATAATACATACGTTGTTCAACCAACATACGTGAATCAATATCCCTTAATGTATAGGATTCAAAATCCCCAAAAGGCTCATACAGTCTTTCAAATATGTTGCATTTAGTGGTATACGCTCTTCGACCATAACAAATCATATCTTGTAAATTTGTCTTTAATATATCTTCTGTTTTGTTATTAATGTAAATTTCTGGCAAATGTTTCGATAATTGAAGTACAATATTTGATTTGGAATACAATAAAAGTAGTCCAACAGGAAATTCATCACCATTTGTTAGAAAATCGTTATCAGTTCCAGTCATTAACAATTTCTTGTATTGTATTTTATCATTTGGAGTTTTGATATTAGCGTTATTAACATCAGGACCACCGATAACATAATAATCAGTATCAACGAATTTTTCGCCTTGTAAATCAATTACAAGTGTAATTGATGGTATTTCTATAACATTATAGAAAATAAAAATGATTGTTAAAAATATTTAATAAAACTTTTTGTTAAATACTTTTTTTAACATTATGATCAACTAATGCAATTTTGTATCCATCCAGTGAAGTTATTCTATCGTTGTCATTACAATATCGACGTAATTCAATAAATTCTTTGCGCTCAACTGAAAAATAAATTTTTAAAATTTATTTTAAATTAATTATCATATACATTTGTCCGGAGCATCTGAATTGATTTCATTAAATCGAATCACACAATCGTTATTACAGTTAATTGACTTAATTAGTGTACTGAACGACCATAACTATTGAACAATGTTGTTAATTAATATGAATTAAAATTTTTATTTATTATAATTCTTACAATTATTATGATCGAACCCAGATTAGTGAATTCCATTATTAATTGAATCTGTTAATTATAAAGCAAAGGACAAAGTTCAATGTAAATTGGTAAAATGCCAAAAATTTTATATTAAAATCATTTAATGAAACATTTATTTAGCAGTAAGTACAATTAAGTTGACTTTGAGTATGCCCTGGGTATAAGAGTTAAGGGTATTTATGTCAAGGCCTTGGGTATGCCTCGGAGTAACGGGAACTTTGGTCAGAGCGGTGGGTATGCCTAGGAGTAACTACTACTTTTGTCAGGGCCTTGGGGATTCCTCGGAGTAACGGGTACTTTGGTCAGAGCGGTGGGTATGCCTAGGAGTAACTACTACTTTTGTCAGGGCCTTGGGGATTCCTCGGAGTAACGGGTACTTTGGTCAGGGCCTTGGGTATGCTAGGATGAGGCATAGGATTAGTATTAGCCCCATAGACTTAGATGTGTTCACACAAATGATATGTTCACACAGTTGATACTATTTTAACATTGAGTCTATGGAATGCGGGTTTTGGTTTTAGGGTTTGGTTCATACAAATGCTAAGTTCACACAACTGCTTGTTCACCCAGTTGATAAAACACTGTATTATTCAATGAATCATTGCGATATTTAATAATATTATCATAACGTAATTCAAATCCACATTACATTGAAATTAGTTATAATTACATATACGGCGTCGTTCACATATTACGTTCGCACTTTTTCATAAATCTAGACCCCGTTCCCCTTTGTTCGCAATTGTTCGCATGTAGCCATGTTAAAATTATTAAGTTCGCATGTCCCTAACACTCCCCCCCCCCCATTGAAAACATAGAATATCTGGAATTAAAACTATTTCTATTCAAAAGCCATATATTTATTTAAAGTTTGTTATCAAACTGTTGTTATTAAAAGATTAACTCTATTCAAAATTATTCCCTTAAACTAATTTAAATTGCTTAAATGCGAACGTTTTTCAGGGCTCTACCCCTCCCCTCCCTTTCGTTCGCAAAAGTTCGCATTGCCCGACCCCCCCCCTCCACCAGAGTGCAAACGTAATATGTGAACACAGCCTAAGGGGTTATATTTAATAATAAGCGATAAAAGTATCATTATTTGTAAATGGATTATCTAGATGTTTATAATGAGTTGGTGTGCTCATCATTGGCCTTAAATATCCATTCATTAGTTTATGTAGATTTATATCCAAATCGCATATAAATATCTGTCCAACCGATGTCTGGCCACCCGTACGGCAACACATATTAGACATTGTTTTATACACATTTATAATTAGCTTATTTGACGCGATTTCTCATTTGAAAATTTAAACACATTTATAATGTAAATTATATGAGTGGGCATTAATGACAATATAGCTAAAAATGTGCCGCGCCCTTGATTGTAGCCGTGGTGGTTACCCGATGTTTGGTCATCGGTAGTGTTTAAACTGATTCGGGACTCCGACGCCTAAAATATTGGCTGACAATATGTTCATAGGGTAGGGATGCAGGGAATAGACTATTGAACATCACCTAGAGATGTTTAGGAACGGCCAGCGATTAAACTAACGGTGTTTTACATTATTTCAATGCTAAATCACTCCCAGAAAATGTAATTTTGAAAATAAAAACAAAATTAAAGTTTAATAACAAGAGGTATAAAATTTATACCCACACTGCCTTCAACCCTGATATACCCCCTACTGATTACCACAGATACCCATCATTTCTAATATCTGTGAGAGAAATGGTATTAAAAATGGCAGATGTCATCAAATCGGGTGTGTCTTCAGAGTTTGGTCCTAAAATCAAGTTTAATCTTCAATTAAGAAATTGAAAAATTGGTGACACAATGGGAGATAATAGATGATTATTGTAGCGAATAGACCGCTGATCAAAGTTTATTATCTTTTGAATAAAATATTTACAAATAATGATACTTTTTCGCTCATTATTAAATATAACCCTTTATATTAATCAATAATAAAAGACATTATAAATGCAATCAAATAATAAAAAATCATTAAAAACTTACGTTAAAAATTTTTTCAATTACAAAATAGATGCCTATTTTAAACAAAAATAGGTTTCAAACAAAATAATACACAACTTATAAGAAAAACAATGTTAAATTTAATTGTATATTAAATTGTATTAATTTTTTGTAATTTTTTTGCAAATGGCAATGTTTAATTAAAATTTTAAATTAAATTTTTATCCCAAATGGGATTTTAATTATTTTACGTAATGGTGACGCTAGCGATTGTGTGTCGTCACTTTTTTTGTCACGTGACAAACGCGAAAGCTTTAGCCTGGTTTGATTGTTATGTTTGTGTCGTATAATTGCTCAAAGAGTTCGCTGAAGATATAGATATCGATGTCCACAATACTCCCGAAGACTGTCCTCTGGAACCGTTTGGACACACATTCGTATCGGAATTTATCTTTTATCGGCAAATAAGACAATATGTGTCCAAACAGTTCATCACCGAAACGATTGAATGCGTTCTTCGCATTGATTTGCGGCTAAAATGAGTGATAAAACAATTAAAACTCAATAAACAGTCAATTGTTTATCAAATACTTGTTTATTGTCTTCATTGCTGTCATCTGTGGTCTCGAGTGATGTCTTCATTGATTTCATGTTTTGTGACATCTCTTAAGATGTGATGAACTGATTGTACGGAACGTTTGTTTGAGATTTCAATAGTGTTTTCAAATTAAAACAAACGATAAAACCGTTAATAAATTGAATGAAAATAACAATAATTGTTGAAATAATAACGAGAGTCGACTGTATTGTTATAAAGCGGCAAAAAGTTTAATCAAAATATTTGAACAACAAATGCATACAAACTGTACTCATATTCCATATCTATTAATACAAGTTGTGGTCATTTTTTGTAGACATTATGTGAAGAATACATTACAGCAACAGAAGTGAAGCCTATTTTTGATTTGTCAATAAAAAGTGATCCAAAAATTGATTGCATTTTATTTGGGATTTTAAACAAAACATTCATTCGTCACTTCATTTGATCCCAAGATATGATACAAGAGATAACACAAACGATGGCATCACTCGAGACCACTTATGACGGCGAAGAGGAGCGCCACAAACAACAGGTATTTACCATTAAATCTATTGATTAATACATTTCATAATAATTATTGATTGGTTTTAATTGTTTTTGTCTCACATTTTAGCCACAAATCTATGCCAAAGACTCTTTGGAACGATTCGGTGACGACTTATTTGGACTTTTGTTGTCTTATCTCACACTCGAAGATCGGTTTCGATTGGAATGTGTGTCCAAACAGTTCCAGAGGACTGTCTTCGAGAGTGTTGTGGACATCAATATTAACGACAAACTGCTCACTAAATATAAGACTGAAATGACATCTATTATTGAATTGTTGGCCACAATTGCTATGAAGTGTACAAACATTGAGACCATTGACTGCCGAGGAATAAGTAACAGATATGAGAAACACATTCTCGAAGTGTTGAACATATTTCGAGACAATTGTCTTAATTTGCGGCACATTTACTGCAATTTACGGCCAAATACTGTTCAAGTGTTTAGTGTTTTCGGACCAATGATTACACAAATCGGACGCATTTGCGTCAAAAAGAAACAATCGCTCCTTCAGTGCCACCGATTGTCTCGATTGCGGATCTTCTCGTTGTCCGACATCTTCGACAACACTTCGGGAGAACTATTGACGAAGAATTTACAGAAACTTGAGTTTTCAATGTTTTTAGACAATAAATATAATGTAATGTTGTCTTCATTTGTGGCACAGAATCAGTCCCTCAAAAGTGTTGGCGTAGAGAACAGACTCAACACTAATGAGTCTTTGGTTGAAATGTCTGAACAATTGTCACGATTAACACAATTACGGGAATTAACACTCGATTTATATCTAAAGAATGGCGAGAACTCATTGTCTGAGTCTTTGCGTACAATTGGCTTAAACTGCAAACAATTGAAACGATTGTCACTTCAATTGGATTTTTATAATGCTTTCGCAGACATAGTTATCAATGTCTATACCATAAAGTCATTGAGATATTATCAAAGTCTAAAACGATTGCGTTTGACATACTTTACACAAATGGATCACCAATTCTTAGAGCCGTTGAAACTCTGCCACCGATTAACACATTTAACACTCAATACAATTGAATTAAGTGTCAAATTATTTGTTAATTGCGACAAACAGTGGCCTCGACTTCAATGCCTGTCCATCAGTGCTAATGGTATGACTCGCGAGTGTTTGGATCACATTTCAAGACTACCAGCGCTGCAAACACTGGCCATCGAATGCGGTGTTGATATTGATCTCAAAGACAGTGATTTCTCTGTACTATTGTTTAAATGTCCGAAACTAAAACTTATCGAAACTAAAATAATCAATACTTTTAAGTCATTCACTGTTTATGGAAACGATTTAAATATTTCGTATTTTTGCAAATAATTTTTGTAATATTTATAATTTTTCAAAATTAATTTTTCGAAAATTGTTTCATTTAGTAATTAAATTAATGTGTATTACATTTGCTTAACATTTGATTGATTTTATTTTTCCCATTAAATAATCTATTTTCAATGTATTGAATGTGTATTTGATTGAAAAACATTGCATTTAATAAAATTTTAAATTCATTGACAATAATTGATACAGAAATGGTTTATTAAATGAAATAACAAAATGAAATACAAAATAACATGTTTTAAATCATGTCTTGAAATGAATTTTAAATAACAAAAGAATTTGTAAATTAATTGAAATTCAATGAAAAGTTAAATATAATTGAATTACAATTAAAGAGAATAACATTTAATCGATCGGTTGATTGTAAGGCTCTTTAGTTTAGGACTTCTCGACAACAGAGCATTGAAATCATTGTCCGAGAGTTGAGTGGTTTCACGGCTTTGAAGGACCAGTTTTTTGAGCGCCGGTAGTCTTGAGAGGTGTGACAAACACTCGCGAGTGGTATCACTTGTGAAGATCAGTAGATAATGAAGTCGTGGCCAATGCTCAGCACAATTAGCAAATAACTTAGCATTAATTGTGCGTAAATTTAGTCTCAAATGCGTTAATCGGTGGCAGAGTTTCAGCGGTTTCAACACTTTCCCAGCAATGGTATGATATAGTGTTAAATTCAATTGTTTTAGTTGTCGATAACATCGCAACGAATCCAATGTCTGGCCATTGAATACTTTATGGTTTGACTTCAAATTAAGTGCCAATCGTTTCAATTGTTTGCAGTTTAAGCCAATTGTACGCAAAGACTCAGACAATGAGTTCTCGCCATTTGGTAGATGTAAACGGAGTCTCAATTCCCGTAATTGTGTTAATCGCGACAATTGGTCCGTCAGTTCGTGAAACCACTCGTCGGTACGAATATTGCAATAGATTGCAAACGTATTGAGTGATTGATTGCCGGCGAAGAACGACACCAATTGTACACTGTTTTCGATGGCATTGTATTCCACATCAAAAGCCTTCAAATTCTTCGCTAATAATTGCCCGGAAGTGGTGTCGAAGACATCGGCCAACGACTCGACACTTAATTGCGACAATCGGTGGCAATGAATGAGTGATTGTTTGTTCGAAGCGTTAAGACTATTGATTCCTGTGACCAGAGGACCGAACTCTTGGATCCATTTCTTGGGATTTGATCGCAAATGACAGTCAATTCGACACAAATCCTGGCAATTGTCTCGAAATGCTTTCAATACAATGGGTATCTTTGAGTCGTATAAATATCTCATTCCTCGACAGTCAAGACTTGCGATGTTTGGACACTTTATGGCAATTCTGGACATCATTTCAGTCACCGATTTCTTTGTATTCAAACAATTGTATTGAAGTAAAAATTTGTCGTCAATACTGATGTCCACAACACTCTCGAAGATTTTCCTCTGGAACTGTTTGGACACACATTCGCAGCGAAATCGATCTTCAAATGTGAGATAAGACAACAGAAGTTCACACAAATCATCACCGAATCGATCCAAAGAGTCTTTGGGATAGATTTGCGGCTAAAATGAGTGATAAATATCATTAAAACTCAATAAATATAGAAATAATGAAATACCCTTTGCTTTGATGTCTTCCTGCGTTTCATCTGTTGTGACATTTCTTGGGATCAAATGAAGTGATCGTTTGATTGAATGAAATTCACACAAATGTCAACAACTGCTTGCAAATTGAATTTGAATCCCTTTTCACGCGATTCTTAACAATAATTATGTCTCAAATACAGTCTTCACTAATATTTGTATTTTATATCGACAGTCGACTGTACTTTTAATTTAATCAATGAATTGTTCAAATATTTTCAATTGAAAGTGAAATACAGTTCACTCTCGTTATAATTCAATAATGTTTAAAATATAATATGCAATAAAAATCATTAATTAATTTCAATGTGTTTTAATTGAAGGCTTTTCGACCATTAAAATGAATTATGAAAAACAAGTTTTAACGATAAGAATAATTAAAATTAATTAATTCAATGGAAGTATTAAACTGTTTTCTAAATACAGTTAAACTAAATTAAATATTAAATGTAATGAAATGTTTTTAAATGACAATAAAATGTTAGAATAAATTCACAAACGTTTGTATTAATACAATTAAAATGTGATCTAAATTAAGACAAATTTAGAAAATTATAGATTATAGCGACAAAAAATCATTTGCTATTAAATGAATGTTTTTATAAGTATTTAAAATACATTTAACAAAAATGAGTCCAATTTATAAACCATTAAACATTTGTCACACTTTTACGGCAGTAAAACATTGAGACATTGTTTACACGCATTTCAATGCTCTTTAATTTCGGACTTCTGGTCAACAGATCCTCGAAGTCGTTATCATTGAGACCATCGCTTCCATTGCCGTCCATCACAAGTGTCTGCAGATCTCTAAGTCTTGAGATGTGCTCTAAAGTGTCGACGACTACGGCGTTGTTCTTGTGCTGAATGAATAGGGAGTGAATCCGTGGCCACTCTTTA